TGCGAGGTGAATTCCGCATCTGCGATGCCCGCAGATGCATCAGGGTCATCGCAGGTGCGCAATGTCTGCAGAAGCGGAAGGGATTTTCGCATGCGCGCACGTGTAGGTGCGGCCCTTTCATCGCATGTGCGAAGGCAGTGGGGGTAAGTGATTTGCGCAGATGCGCACATTTTGCCGCACAAGCGCACCCGCAGGTGCGGAAATACCTGGGCAGTGGTTAAAACCGAAGGGCTTCGCGATTTTTGTCATTTTTGGACTTTGCAACTCGCTTTAGGGCGATTTTTGAGAGCATTTTCGAGAGATTTTTTGAGGTAAGTCCCTTATGCTTATTTTTTATTAATAATCTTGCTTCCCCATGTATTTTTCCACCTAGTTAGTATGTATTTAAGGTAGAAATTGGGAATTGGAGGCTAGAGATTTGGAAGTTTGATTTGTGGATTTGGAGGACCATTTGGTGTCGGATTTTAGTAAATTTGATATGGTTAGACTCGTGAGTAAACGGGCTTTCGTATTTTATGACTTTTACTTGATTCCGAGATGTGGGCCCCACAGGCGATTTTTGAGTTAATTTCTGAATTTTCATTAAAATATTGATTTCGTTAATTAGATGAGTCTATTATTGTTGTATTTATGATATGTAATTGTTTTTGGCTAGATTTGGGCCATTTAAAGCCGGATATTCGTGGGAAAGGCATTGTGACCGATTGATTGAGCTTGGTTCAAGGTAAGTGGCTTGCCTAACTTTGTGTGGGGGAAATCCCCTTAAGATTTGGAACTATTGTGATATGTGAGCACCGTGTACGTGATGTGACGAGTACGTACACAGACTAGTTGTGGTAAAACCCGATTTTCTTATTGAGCAGCAACATGTCTTCCTATTATTTTGAGTTTTACCATTTTAGTGAGTATTAATCTATTTTCATTCTTAATTGAGTTATTCCAATATGTGTATCTATCATGTTTAGTCTAATATAACATGTCTACGTGTCTTAATTATTTATGTAAATTATGTGCAACATGCTTAGTGAATTTTCTGCTTCTTCCCTGACTGGTACTTAGTCTAAATTGTAATAACTTCGTGATGTAGTTGTATTTCTATCATTCGTGCTGCATATTTACTTTGAGAGTACGGAACGGTATTCCGGGAGATCGCCCTATACTGCATATTTACTTTGGGACTACAGAACGGTATTCCGGGAGATCCCCTTGTCTTGCATATTTACTTTGGGATTACGGAACGGTATTCCGGGAGATCCCCTTGTCTTGCATATTTACTTTGGGATTACGGAACGGTATTCTGGGAGATCCCCCTGCACATTTACTTTGGGACTACGGAACGGTATTCCGGGAGATCCTCCTACACATTTACGTTTGGGACTACGAGACGATATCTCGGGAGATCCCCTGTTGTGTTTCTGTGTACTAAACTGTTACCTTCTATGATTTTATTATTGTTAAATTTCAGCCTTTATTTTATTGCGGTATTACCAGTAGGGCCTTGACCTGACCTCGTCACTACTCGACCGAGGTTAGGCATGACACTTACTGGGTACCGATTGTGGTGTACTCATGCTACTCTCTGCACATATTTTTCGTGTGCAGATCCAGGTGNAGGTTAGGCTTGGCACTTACTGGGTACCGATTGTGGTGTACTCATGCTACTCTCTGCACATATTTTTCGTGTGCAGATCCAGGTGCACCTTATCAGCCGCACTATCAGTGAGTCGGGACAGCTTTGGAGACTTCAAGGTATATCTGCCGTGTCCGCAGACCTCAGAGTCCCCTTCTACTCTTTCTCGTGTCCATTATCTTATGTATTTTTCCTTGTTAGATTCTGATGTATAGGGACACTAGATTTTTCCTTCTGTAGTTTGTGATTCACGATATTCTGATTTTTGGGATTTGTTGTGTATTTTTGAATAGTTGGTTAAATTTATATTTTTATTTTATTATTCCGCAAAAATGTTAGTCTTACCTAGTTGTAGAGACTAGGTGCCGTCACGACGTCACACAGAGGGAAAATTGGGTCGTGACAATTATAAGACTAATATTTAGAATTTCGATTATGTCCTTTTATTATGAGTTATTATACTTAATATTATAAGGTTATTTTTGTAAACCGACATTGTATTCGTACTTTTATAATAATATAGATAGATAGATATAGATATAGATAGATATAGATATAAGACATAAAAATAAAATGGTAATAATATTAGGCAAAACCATAAACTTCTACTAGAAATTCCCAAAATTCAGTGTCACAAGTGCACGAGCAATCTAGTAGAATATACAAAATCCCTACACCTACTGTCTGAAATAGAATAGACAGAAATAGTAAATACAACAAGAGAAGATTCCGGGTCCTGTCGATCGAAGCATGAGAAGCAGCTCACCACTAGGTCTCTGGATGATGCTGATGCGCGGCCGAATGGATACGAGATGTACTTGCCTCAGTACCTGCACAATTTGTGCAAAAGTGCAGCATTAGTACGTAAATCAACGCGTACCCTATAAGTATCTAATATAACCTCGAAGAAGTAGTGACGAGGGGCCGACATCGACACTTACTAGTGGTCAATAAATAAAGTACATGAAGTTTAAATAGGCATGAAATACAACAGTGACAATAGAGTAAGAAACAGAAAATGGCGTGATCCTTTAATCATGATATCAATTTAAGTCCCCAAATATCACATGCCATCTCAACAAATAAAAACCATCAATTAATTATCAAATCTCAAGTCATGAAGAAAATATCATGTATATTCTGACTCTTAATAATATTACGCACGAGTTACGCGTGGTCGTACGGTCCGATTCATAATAATCGTGTACACAGCCGAAGGTCGACCAGCACGAACCATAGATAAATCTCAAATATACTGCCGAGGCATTCGGCCCGATCCATAGGAATAGAGAAACTCTGCGAACTGCGGTCAATGACTACAACACATGAATGGTACTCAAAGAAGGCATAATTTCCACCAACAATCAAGTATTTCGCCAAAACTCAAGATAATGAAGCTCGATCTAATAAAATCCCAAATCCAATGTAAATTATAAATTCAAGTAATTAAACTAACAAATTGAGTTCAAACAATACAAATATTGCATGATAAAGTACTAAGTCTACCTGGACATAAACACGCTTTTAGCTACGTACGGACTCTAGTCACCTCGCGCGTATGCAACACCCATAATTAGTAGCACATAACAATTTAATTACCTACAGGGATAAATTCCCTCTTACAAGATTAAGCAAGAGACTTACCTCACTTCAAAGTTCACTAGCCGGCTCTTCAATCACACTAATTGCCTCAAATTGGTGCCGAGCAATTCGAAACTAGCCAAAGGTCGTACAAACTAAATAATATATGCTCAAAAGTTCATAATTCATCTATTAAAGTAATTACCCAACACAAATCGGAAAGTTCCTAAAAGTCACCCCCGGGCCCACGTGCCCGGATTTTAAAAATTTTCGTAGAATAATGTTACCCATGACCCTATGAAGTCAAATAAATAATTTCTACTAAATTCCATAATCATTTTCGTGGTCTAGTCCATTTTTACTAAACCCTAGATTTTTCAACAAAAATCCCATAATTTTTACAAATTTCTATATTAAAATATACCCATAATCTATATATTAAACTCACATTATGTAGAAATTACTTACATTGAGATGCTAGGTGAAAATCCCTCTCCAAGGAGCTCTAAAATCGGCCAAGAGTCGAGAGAAATGAAGAAAATGAGCCTAAGTCCCGTGTTTTAAAATGCTTCTGCCCAGTGATCTTTCTTCGCGATTGCGACAATGCCCTCGCGATCGCGAAGGCAAAACTGCAAAGGCCCTCAAAAACCTCTTCGCGATCTTGACAAGATCCACATGATCGCAAAGGCCAGCCCCACCAATCATCGCGAACGCGAAGGGCATCTACTTGATGAGCCCCAAACCCAGACCATTCTACGCAAACGCGACCCAACAATCGTGAACGCGGAGGCGAGTGTCTCAAAGCTTCGCGATCGCGACCCCGCATTCATGACGCGTATAACAAAAGTCCTCAGCCCCAATTCATTCATCGCGAACACGAGGTTTTCTCCGCATTCGCGAAGAAGGAAACCAACAGCAGGATTTCTGCAATTTTTTACTTAACTCCGAGTGGTCGAAAACACACCCAAGCCACCCGGGTCCCCGTCCAAATGCACCAACAAGTCCATAAACATAATACGGACCTACTCGAAGTCTCGGAACACGTAAAACAACATTAGAAGCAAGAATCACACCCTAATACAAAATTAATCAACTTATGAACTTCAAACTTCTTCAACTAGCTCCGAACACGACGAATCATACTTAGACAACTCGGAATGACGCTAAATTTTATGCACAAGTCACAAATCACCATACGAACCTATTCCCAGGCTCGGAATCCCAAACGGACATCGATAATACCAAAGTCTACTTCAAACAAAATTTAAGAACCTCTTAAACCTTCAAGGCGCCAGCTTTCAACAATAAGCGCCGAAACGCTTTCGATTCACCGAACTCGATCCGAACACACGTCTAAGTCCAAAATCATCATATGAACCTATTGGAACCATCAAATCCCGGTTCCGAGGTCGTTTATTCAAAATGTTGACTCAAGTCAAACTTGGCTACCTTATGCCACTATTATGGAATTAAGTGTTTCGAATTCAACCCGAACTCTTCCAAAACCAAACTATCATCCTCGCAAATCATAAAACAACAAAAGCACATACGGAAAGTACTAAATAGGGAAACGAGGATCTAGAAAACAAAATGACTGGTCGGGTTGTTACATGATGTATATTCTTTGATTTTGTGTAGATTTTATTATATTTTTGTATACCATATTAAATAATAAAATACAACTAATATTTATCAAAATAATATAATATATTAGATCATAATTTTATAAGATTAATATTTTGTCAAAATAATATAATAACACTAGTCATTTGAAAAAAAAGAAAGGAAAGAGATGTTCTGTTGTCATTCTATATGACTTGCTTTACAGTGGAGCCATGGTTGAGTTTAGTAAGTGATCGCTCCTCGGCTTCTCCAATGGCGAATTCGAAACCCAAACCCGGATCCGAACCCAAATCTCATTCCCAGAACGTTCTAGAACTTCTCGCCGGCTTAAACCCTTCCATTCCTCCAATTCCTCCGGTTCGTTCTTTAGCGATCACCACAATCTCCGATTCCCAAACCCTAGTTTTTATAGGAACAGTCTCCGGTGACGTCATTTCACTATCCCTGAACCCTAACACCGGTCTATCATTCCACCTGCGGCTGAACATCATCGGCAAACCTGTGAGTTCGATCCTCATTGTTAGTCATATCGGAAAACTCATTGTTCTCTCCGACGGTTTTATTTATTTGCTTGACTTGAATTCACTAGAACCGGTTCGAAAATTGAGTCTGTTGAAGAATGTTAATGCTGTAAGTAAGAGATTTTTAAGTAGAAATTACAGTATAAACCCTATTTCAAATGGGGTTAAAGGAAAAGAAGATGGTTGTTTTTTCGCGGTTGCGATGGGGAAGAAGTTGATGCTAGTTGAGCTGGTTTTGAGTGGTTCTCCTGTAATTTTGAAGGAAGTTCAGGGTGATTTTACTGACGGGATAATGTGTATATCATGGGTAGATGATTCTGTTATTGTAGGAACTAGTAGTGGTTACTATTTGTATTCATATGCAAGTGGGCTGTCTGGTGTGATATTCTCCTTGCCTGATTCGTCCGTGCCGCCAAGGATGAAGTTTTTAGCAAAAGAGTGCAAGGTGATGTTAATGGTGGACAATGTGGGTGTTATTGTGGACAGTGAAGGGCAGCCTGTGGGTGGTAGTTTAGTTTTCGGTGAAGCTTCGGAGACCATGGGGGAAATAGGGGCATATATTGTGGTGGTAAGGAATGGGAAGTTGGAGCTGTATCATAAGAAGTCGGGGAATTGCGTTCAGCAAGTGTCGTTTCCTGGTGAAGTAGGTAGTCCTTGTGTTGTGGCTGATGAGGAGGATGGAAGAGGAAAGCTTGTCGCTGTAGCGGCAGGCTCAAAGGTAATACTTGATCACTTTAACTGTAAAAGGTCTACACTTTGATGCTTTCTGGGTTAGGTTTTAGTCTTTAAGAATTTATACGCTCCAATGGTTAAGGGGTACTTAAACCTTTGCTTGTGCTGAATCATCCCATGCATAACTTAATTCTCCGTGAGGGCCTGCAGAGTTGTGAACGTACTTATAGAGACTTGTCTAAGCTAGAGTATCAAGGTGATCTTTTTGATAATTCATTATTTTGACCTTAACAAAAAGGTAAAAAAAGGAAATAGAACATAGCTTCAACTATTTTGCTGAGGCATCTGATGAAGTTATGAAAATAAATTCTGCTTACTCACTGGAAGGCCTCGTGAATTATTCTTGTAGATGCATGGTCCCTTAGCTTCGTCGGGTTCTCTCTGTCATTGGATTCTTTATTATGTCTTAGAAGCACAGTGATTGTTTGGAAAAAGAGAAAAGAACATTGTAAAATTGCCCGTTTACAGTAATTAAATTCATGTCTAATTGTGTTCTGGTGGCAGATTATGTGTTATCGGAAGGTGCCTTGTGAAGAACAAATAAAAGATCTATTGCGAAAGAAGAACTTTAGGGAAGCAATCTCACTGGTTGAAGAGCTTCAAAATGAAGGTGAAATGACAAGAGAGACGCTCTCTTTTGTCCATGCTCAAGTGGGATTCCTTTTACTGTTTGACCTACACTTTGAGGAAGCAGTTGATCATTTCTTGCTTTCTGAAATAATGGAGCCTTCAGAACTTTTCCCGTTTATCACACGAGACCCAAATCGGTGGTCATTGCTGGTACGTGCTGGTGTATCAGTTATTGTCCTGTGCATGCATTTATGTTTTAATGCATGGATCTCTAGCTATTATGATGGTATATGTGCTGATAAATCTACAACATGATTTTCGCATCTGTTATATGAGTCAAGTTAGTTTCAGTTAGTCCATCCAGTCTTACTAAGTACATCTGTTCTTTTTCTTGAATCTTTTTCGTATCTGGTCTCCGATTCACCGTCATTGGGCCCCAGTCTAGTCATTTGGTGCCAAAGAGTGTGTCTATATGTTTTATGTAGGAAAAAAGAGCGTGTCATACCATACTTATTATCCTAATATATGTATCAGTCTACCCTTTTTTTTCTTGCTGTGTAGGAAAGGACCAACTAGGTGCAGTCCATTCTTCTTCTACTTCTTTCTTTTTCTTCTTTGCTGCATTTTAGTCCTGCTTATGCCACTTCTTTTGCTACTTTTACAACTTGCCATAAATTGATTGAATCTTTTGCTTTACCTATAAAAAAAGGGAATCTTTTATTTCAAACTTACTGCATAAGTTAACTAGGGCAATGCTAATATTCTGCAGCAGTTCCTAATATTTGTCCCTCATAAAGGGTGACAACGAGGACTGAGCTAGTCATGTTGGGGTTGTATGCTGGCATTCCTATCAACATGGGCTGCTTTTAGGATATGCAGGATTTTCGTATATTAGGAAATTTAAAGCTAAATGCTTTGCACCTGCTTGGACCATAGATAATTTTGATCTGAAATACAACTCAACTAAGTGATTATTTCAACCCTTATTTCTTTTTTTCATTAAAAAGGTAAAGTCTATTGATATGAGGAAGAAACTTGTGTACGGGATCTGTAGAAAATTTCACTAAAAAACATGATTCTTTACAAAGAGCACCTAATTTTCTATACTAATTAGTATCTAATGAGTGCTCCATTTTCTCGGTTGCTCCTACTGCGCTTTGATTTCGTTCGTTCAATATGGTCCACATAAATGCCAAGTGAGATACTTCATTAAAAAAAATGCCAAGTGAGACACCTCCTATACTCTTTTTCTCTGTCTCTTTTTCCGAAGATTTCGATCCTAATGACATGCTTTAACACTGAGCAATAATCGATACTCAATATACCTCCAAACAGTGTAGCAATAGCTGAATCACATCTTTTCTAGCGCACCTACACATGATGCACCAACTGATGTAGACTTTTCTTCTTCTTTCTTATTGTCCATCTGTCATAATTGCCTTCCCACCAACCATGCAAAAAACTAACCTTCGGTCTCTTTCTCCAGATTCTAAAGTAAAACTGATCTTACAGTAAATATGCCATTACTTCCTTGTATTATTTCGTTCCTACTTGAGAACAACCTTTGAAGCTCTCCTTTCCCTCACTCAAGTCCCATAATGGTCTACCTTCTTGTTCCTTGTGTATCCGAGCGTTGTCTTCCCTCTGTTAGGGGCATGTATAATGTAATGGGACATGTTTGCAGCATATCTGATTCTAGAACCGGATTGTGACTCCATTTCCCTCTTTTCCAGCTTTCAATAGCCTCAATAAATTATTTCAACCATTCATTTGGATTCATTATTTATGACAAACGACATGTTAAATCTGAAAACTTGAGACCCCCTCTTAATTCTTAAATCGAAATATCTCCATCCAAACCAACTCTAACAGTAATTCACCAAAAATATGATACTCGCCTGGACGCCACCGTCTTAAAAAAAGATACTCCAGCACAATCACATGTGTTGGCCCTTGGAGTCTCTCGCTAGATGTGTGACTCTCTTTCTTTCTCTGCCGAGGAGGCTCTTCTTATCCAACTTTCTCTTTAGGCAGAATAGGCTGAGAGACACTTCTACTCGTTCGGTTTTGACATCACGGTCCTCCTACTTCACGAAGTTTCAAACACTTGTAGTTGTTCAAAATCAAAGTTTTAAACCGCTTTGATCATTGGCCGAGTATATGTGGCAGCTTGACAACGAATTGGACAAAATATGTGTATTTCACACGTATATGGAGCGTAAATATAAATATTTAAACTAGGAGATGATTAAACTAATAAAAAAAAGCAAAAGAAAAAAGAAAGGAAAAAGACAAAAAATTAAATACAAAAAGAAAATAAAAGTCAAAGAGTGGTTTCTCTTTCACGTTTTCCCCACCTCTCCCTCCCCCATTTTTCTTTCTCCCCCTCCATTCTTCCCTTTATTACCTCTCCCCCATTTTAACCCCAAATCCAACAGCAGCACTCCCAGATTGGTAGCAACTTTATGGGAGAAATTTCTTTTCGACCTCCCCCATTTTCTCCCCCCAACTTCTGAAGACGAGCTGTTGCAAGGAAATGAAATAGAAAAAGTGCAAGAAGATCACTAACAAACCGTTTTCCGGTAGAGGAATCTTAAACAAATTTGGGTGGAGTTTCCAGTGATGATGGTTTTTAGGAGTCGTTTCGGATCGATTATTTTTGGTGGTTGATTGGTGGTGCTATGGTGGAGTGTTGGCTGTGAAAAAGCTTTTTAGGTGAAGGGTGGTCGGAGAGGAATCACATGCATTGGTGGGCGATTTTTAAGAGTTGAGTTGAAAAAGAGAATTAGAAAAATGAAGAACAATGAGAGAGTGGTCACCGGTGGGAGAAAAAATGAAGAGTGAAAGAGTGATCACCAATGAGAAACAAAAGTTTGAATTCATTCTCTCATTGTTTGTATCATAACATTGTTACTTTGTGGGCTGTTTTGAACGTGGTGGTAAATGGTGAATGGTGGAGAATAAGGATGATGAGAGAGGAGGAAGGTGATGGTGGCATGGAAAAGAAAAAAATATAATTTTTAAATAATATTAAAAATAAATTAAGCGGTACAAAACAATAAATATGATTGGCAAAAAGATATATATTAATTATTGAAGAAATCATTATGAATAAAATTGTCACTCCTTTCTTGCATTACATATATATTTTTTATTTTTTTCTTCGTTGCGCCTTTTTTAACTAAAGCCCACACTTTAATTGCGCTTTGCGCTTAAAGCCCCGATAGACTTGACCGCTTTTCGACGCTTTTCGCCTATGATAATACTGGAATGAAAGAGTGGTCACCGATGGGAAAAAAATGAAGAGTGAAAGAGTGGTCACCGATGGGAAACAAGAGTTTGAATTCATTCTCTCATTGTTTGTATCAAAACATTGTTATTTTGTGGGCTGTTTTGAAGGTGGTGGTAAATGGTGAATGGTGGAGAATAAGGATGAGGAGAGAGGAGGAAGGTGATGGTGGAATGGAAAAGAAAAAAAATATAATTTTATATAATATTAAACAATAAATTAATCATGATGTGTTACAAGAAATCTGGTGTGGATACTAATGTGTCATCTACGTGAGGTCACAGTGGTTTAAAATACTGAGTTTGAACAACTATAAGTGTCGGGATGACTTTGTTGAGTACATGGGCCTGGATGACAAGCGCGAACAAGTACAAGTGTCTTTTAGGCTATTTTGCCTTTTCTTTAATCTCTTATTTTCCTTTGGTGCACTCACGAGGTTCCTGTAGGTATAGTAGATTGAGCGTCATTTATAGAAAACAATATCTTGTTGGAAGGTTTTTTACTTTTGGTGTACTTCTTGTATATGAGTGTTTTTGCCCATTGTTAATAAATTCTATACTTGATCAAAAAATATTTAAATCTTTCTTTAATGTGCTGGAATTCGTTCACAGGTTCCGAGGAATAGGTATTGGGGCTTGCACCCTCCTCCCTCACTTCTCGAAAAAGTTGTGGATGATGGCTTAACTGGTATTCAGAGAGCTATCTTCCTTAAGAAAGCAGGTGTAGAGACTGCAGTTGATGACGAGTTTCTTCTGAATCCACCAAGCAGAGCTGGTTTATTGGAGTCTGCAATTAAAAACATGACCAGGTTATCTATTGATAAGAGTGTGTGTTTACTACCAACTTCTTGTCCTAGTTCTGGCCTCATGTCTTCTGGGTTGAAACCTTCCAAAACCAAAACAATATTTGATTTTTCAAGAATATTTTTTTTTTAATTTTAAAATGACCAGTGTTCAATCCAACTTTGCACTCTCATGAATTTTGAGAATTTTTTTTAAACTGTTCCCACTTCCATTGTGGGGGAAAAGAGAGAAAAATGAGAAAGAGTGGATATGAATGTCTTCCTCAATATTGATAAGACTTACGAATGTTTAGCTTAAGATTCCTAGACAGAAAATTCATCAAGGGACATCATAATCACATCTACCAATGGAGGTTGTCAATATGGACGTTGCTCAAGTTTTATGAGATAATATTTAGATAAAAAGCTATATAAGTCACAATATTTTACAATTAAATATATTTTAGGAGTGAAAACATCATATTCAAAGAAAACCTGTTTAACTTCTGTCACATAAAATAGGACTGGGAGCAATTCATGAATGGAGCATAGATATATGAAATACTTACTTCGGGTGACTTAAGGATATATCACAGATAACTAGTGTAACTATTGTAAGACCATAATGGAAGGTAGAAATGATTTTATGCTTAGGCATGTAAGCTTGATAATTAGAGAAATTCTAGGTTGAGAGAGACCTGCCTTTCAGGTTTATGGGGTTGATATAAACATTGGCAAGGATTTAAGATAGAGAGAAAGCTGTGAACTGACCCTTTGAATTGTTTTTCCCTTCCTTCTCAGAGAAATTGTAGACTATATCGGTAATTCCTCTAGGCGATGTCTTAATTTTCTAGTGTAAGTTTCAGTTGAATTGCTATTGGTGTCTCGCTTGTACCTTTATTATCGTTTCATAAGTTGAGAACAGGAGGAATTGACCACAAAGCGTCAGTTATTGTACTAATATGTTACAACATGGTTTTGGTATCGTCTCTTTGGTGCTAACAGAGAAATTTAAGATGGGAAGAAAACTAATATAGTTCTCTGCCCTTTGTTTAACTTGCATTCATTTAATATATTTAGGCTGAGTATGTTTTTCAGTATTCAAAATTTGGTTTATTTTGTCGGATACTTATGAAGTTTGCTTGTTGAAAACTTTTATCTGGTGTTTTTTGTCCAATTTGGTTTTACTTGTCTATTCTGATCCTTAGTTTTTCCTCTCTTTTATAACAGATTTTTAGAAGTATCACGACATAAAGATTTGACTCCTTCAGTGAGAGAGGGAGTTGACACACTTTTAATGTACCTCTACAGAGCTCTAAATCGTGTTGATGACATGGAAAGACTTGCCTCATCTGAGAACAGTTGCGTAGTGGTATGTCTATATAACCTTGTCCTATCTTGTCTAATGTATGATATGTAGGTTGCGTTTCTTTACAGTGTATCGCACACAGTTCTTGTATTGATCTGCTAGTGAATGTGCTATCAAACTCTTTTTTTGACAACGGTGGGTTTGGGCTAGCAAGGCTTAGGCAGGTAGAAAGAAATCACCTAGGGCTTTTTGCCTCTGCTGGAATTTAAGCCTTGATTTCTCATGGTGTTAACCCACTCCTTCACCCCTACGCCTCACCTTTAAGTGCTTATCAAACACTTATTTGTTATACAAACCATATCCAGCATACTTACTGAATATTTTTTTTTGGATTAGGTAAAGTTTATAGATCTTAGTGAAAGTTGATGTAGATAATATAGAAATGTTGTGTATGTAGACCTTAAGGTGTTGTAGGCTTGTAGCATCTTTCTTTGCTAGGAAACAGTTCAATCTTAAAGTTGAGATCTGGTATCTTCTCTGAAGGATAGCCATAAAAATTAAATGGACAGTGCAGGAGGAGTTGGAATCACTGCTGAGTGAATCTGGGCATTTGCGGACACTTGCTTTTCTGTATGCCAGTAAAGGGATGAGCTCAAAGTCTCTTTCAATCTGGCGTGTCCTGGCTCGAAATTATTCATCAAGCTACTTGAAAGATTCACATGGTGCAAATCATTTACAAGACACCACAAAAGACAATTCCTCTGATCAGCAGACTGCTGTAGCCGAGGCTTCAAGAATTCTTGAGGCATCATCTGATCAGGAGTTAGTACTGCAACATCTCGGATGGGTATGGCATTCTTTTTGGTTTTCAGGGGCTTTCTGCTTTCGACATGCTAATTGAGAGTATTAATTTCCATTTTAGATTGCAGACATCAATCAGGTGTTAGCTGTTCAAGTGCTCATATCGGAGAAAAGAACAGATCCTCTCCCACCAGGTATGTCTTACATGGTATCTAGTGATGTTCAAATTTCATACCAATCTGCAAAGATTGGCTTTTCTGTAGTAAAATTTAGCCTCACACCGACGTTTAAAGAACTGATATCTCTTTTGATAAGGTAAATAATTTCATTAAAAGGCAGCCCGGTGCACAAGGCATCTCGCTTGAAGGGTCACAGGGAAGGGCATTTTTGTTATGGAAAGTGAAAGTCGTTTCGTTTAGTACGAGATCGCTTCACACCTCGCGGTACTTACACCTCTCGCTTATCGAAGTCTCGTTCAAAAACCTCTCCAGCTGAGTTGGGCGCACTGGATGGCCTGAAGTTGGTTCGTCGAGCAAGAGGAGAGAAGGATCAACAAGGATTTCATACCCTATGATAGTTATTTTTCTCTCCCCTAGATATGCCTTTAATAAGTCCTCCACCTATTCTCGTGTGACGACATCTATGATTGTGAAATCTTCTTCACTAGTACTGGGAAGGTGGAAGAAATGAAGTCTCTCTTTTTTTGGGGGGGGGGGGAGCAGAGCAGTCAAAGAATGAACCAAACCAAATGATTGTTCTAGAATGGCTATTCCTCTGCTCGCAGAGCGGTATACCGAAAAAAAGAAGGGACTACCTTACTTAAGCAATTCTTCTTATTCTTATTCTTTCTTAGTTGAAGTTCCTATATTGGTTTTTTCTTTCTTTTATGAATGTTATAACTCCTAATTCTTTGGTAGCAGACAAATAATCCAAACGAGAAAATCATATCTTCAAAGCTCATCACTTCAATAAAGGCATTGAAGTTAGGAGGCCGACCCCGAAGTTTGTTCTAATGGATCCGCAATTACATTAAAGTTCCCCCTACTAGCCAGGGGAAGTTAATGCAAGTGCACCCCAAGGGGTGTGATGTAGACAGCCTACCCTAATGCATGCATTAGTAGCTACTTCCACGGCTCGAATCGTGGGGAATCTTTTTCTTTCAGTAAAGAAGGGTGGAGGGGCAGGCCGATCTCAAGCTGGATGAGAAGGCAAATAAAGACTACTAATTCTGAGAATAGTCATAATTCAATTTTTGGCCTTGAATTAATGGTTTACATAGACAGGTAGGTTAGACCATGCCCGCTTTTATTTACCTAAAATACCCCTGCTACTTTGCTAAACCATTAAAAAATCATGGATAATATTGTCATTTTATTCTACACATAAAAAGGAAAAGAGTTGTCCAGATCACGTTTTTTACTTTTCCAAGAATTAAGGCAATTTTGTAGCCCCTTTCTCCTCCATGGCGAGAGCAGCAATTAACCTTTGTTTTTGGAAATTTTGCTCTTTTTTCATCACCAATAAAGAGTAGGAATATAATTACAGTTGGTGAAAATACAATTATTACAGTGGAAAATAAAATTAAAAATTATAAGTTCTTCAGGCCGAGGCGCGAGATAAGCGAATATCTCACTCTCTGTAAGGAAATTAGCCCAATGCTGTAAAATCTTCACCGGTTCAGCAGTAAAAATCTTGACTTGTCCCTTCCAGGACACAACAAACCAAAAATGTTGTATGATCCGAACAATCCGTGGACTAGTTTTTGAGTCTAAAGTTCCACCAATAAGAACACTTTCCTTCAACAAAGTAAAACTCTCTTTTGTAGTGAATAAGTTGAAGATTTATACCTTTTTCTTTTCTCACAACTCTTTTTTTTTCTTTCAAATACATTTCACTTTTGTTGCACATTACAACACTTTCCACACATCTTCACAAGGTAAGAAATACTACTATTTATAGGTGTAAGAATTCTTTCTTGGAATAAATTGGAAGGTAGTGAGGTAATTAAGTTATGTGAACATGAGAGATTAATGGCTAGTTTAGTGGGTCAATGATATGATAGAACATGAGATAGTGGTTATGGAGAATTGTGGCCACTTTTTAGATCATGGAATAGTGAATTTATAAGAGTTATGATCACTTTCTCCACTTAATAGCTATGACAGATAATACAATTTTAAAAAGTACAATTATGTGAGCATGTTGTAACTCCTTTGATTTAATTGTTCGCTTGCTTTCTATGCAAAGTGAGAATGATGTGATATATCAAAAGGAGTATGCTAGCTTAGATGGAAATTTGAGATGTGACTAATTGCACTAGGCATGATGATATTGCATATGCAACATGAGTACTTAGCAAGTTTACAAGTAAGCCAGGTAATGAACATTGGCATTCCATATGAGAGTTATATTTACTTGGTGTCAAATACCTATGGCATGTATTACAAAAGATATCATGTTGTACACACAAGAATTTTCATATTCAGAATGGAACACTTCATCTGGTGATTCCTATTATGCTACTGGTTGTATTTACTTTGGGAGGTGGTGCTTTGTTGGAAATCGAAAAAGCAAACTATTATTGCCGACTCTATCGTGGAAGCTGAGCTTATTGCTTTAGCTTCAGCTACTGAAGAAGCGAATTGGTTGAGAGATTTATTATTTCAACTACCTTTGAAAAACCAATTCCTCCAATTTTATTTTCTTGAGATAGTACCGTTACTATTGATAGAGTGCAAAATAGTTATTACAACGATATATCCAGACCCATATTAGGTGTTATCGGATGCGAAAAACGCAAAACAACTCGAATGTCCTTTGGGACTTTAAGCACTAAGTGCAAATAAAACGTGGGTTTAACTGAAGAAAGACGCAAATGGAGAAAAAAAATACAAATATGTATGTGCAGTTCAAGACTAATAAATATACGCATGAATAACAAATATATGGACAAAGAAATTGAATAAAAATTACAATAAATGGAGTATCAATTGTTTTGTGTTGCCTCTTCAGGATTACGCCCATTGGCGAAGAAAAGTATGTCTTAGAGCCTTGATGATGACATTGAAGCACTTGCTAAGCGAGGCGAAGCGTTCAACATGTTGTGTGGCTCGCTTCAGGGCTTAAGTTTGCCTTAAGCGCACCTTTAAAAGCAATGGGTCCCACAAGGAGAAAAAAAGTATTGTGAGATTATGTTTGACAAGTGGTAGCATAAATGTTGATTATGTTAAATCTTGTGATAATCTTACAAATCCATTGACTATGGTCTTAGCAAGAGAAAAGGTTCGGAGCACATCGAGGGGAGGAGATTGAAACCTATAAATTTATGAGCATATATTTTGGGGACCCATTTTGGGGACTAGAGATTCGATAACTAGGTTCAATGGGAAGAAATGATCATATGATAGCTTATTTTGACATGCACTATTATATTTATGTTTTTGCCATCCTTATGGACTGAGTGCATTTATCCTGTAACGATTTGTGAAGGATGAGTCTATGAACTCTTAATGAAAATTTGTAGCTTGTTGAGTGGATGTTAGAGTTACAAAAGCACCCTTGGCAGATTTTACCTATATGAGTGTGGAAGTAAGTCACTTCCTATGGGAATTGGGCTTTTTAAAAAACACTCGTGAAATCGGGATGGCAGAATGCCGTAATGTGATGGCTAATAAAGATCATGTCAACAACTTGATTTTTATGTGTAAGTAGTGATACTTTATTTCCCTTAAAAGTCATCGTTCAAGTCTACGACCGCTACGACTCTGGAGTAAAAATTGTTGTTTTACTTAACGGAGGATCAATGCAGAGCACACCTTCATTATGCATAATAGTCTCTATTGAACTGATATACTCTCTTATTTTAATAGTAAAATGAGTGGGATTGTTGGAGAATATTATATTTTAATATTAAAATAATAATATTAAATACACTATTTGTCATGACTATTAAGTGGAGAAAGTGGTCATAACTTCTTCTAATCCGCTATCCCATGATCTAGAAAGTGGTCATAATTTTTTGTAACCACTCCCGTGTTTTACCATGTCATCAACCCACTAAAGGCCAAATAACTAGCCATTAGTTCATATCTCATGTTCTCATAATTTATTATCCCACTACTTTATTCCAAGGAATAATTTCTATAACTATAAATAGTAGTACTTCTTACCTTGTGAAAAGTATTGCAGTGGGCACAAAAGTGAGGTGTATTTGTGATAAAAGAGAGCTGTAAGAAAAAAAAAGTGTAAGTTTTCAACTTATTCACTACAAAAGCGAGTATTATTTTGTCGAAGCCAGTGTTCTTGTTGGTGGAGCTTCCAGATGTTGTTCGGGTCATACGACATCGTCAGGTTGTATTCTAGAGGGGACAAGTCAATGTTGTTACTACTGAACGGTGATGGTTCTATAGCAGTGGGTTTGAATCTCCTTAACGAGAGCAAAATATCTGTGCATCAACCTCTAATTTTTTTTAAAATTATTTTTCAACTGTACTTGTATTTTCACTAACAATGGCAGTGTATATGTCCGTGCATGTGGGTTTTGCTAGCCTACTACAATCAGAAGGTTAGACCATGGTGACTTTTATTTAACCATAATACCCCTGCCACTTCTCTAAACCATTGAAATAACATGGATAATATGTTCATTTTGTTCTCCACATGAAAAGGAAAAGAGTTGTCCGGATCATGTTTTTTACTTTTCAAATAATTGAGGCAATTCTGCAGCCCCTTTCTTCGCCATGGAGAGAGCAGCAACTGCCCTCTGTGTTTGGGTAATTTTGCTTTTTGTTCATCAACGAAAAAGAGTAGGAAAGAAGGAAAAATTGAACGCTTAAATTAATGACTGAATGCATGTAATTATTGTCTCTTTCCTAGCTAAAGCAAACTCTTAAACCCTAAAGTTTCTTTTCCAATCCCTGAAGTTCTTTGATTCCTCCTCCACAAAGACAACTGGCTTCTTTCTCCTTTTTGTTATCATCATCAGGCCTTGGAATATTCTCTACATTCGTGACTTATATGAGCTGAGAAGTGAGTCGAGAAACATAAAGCCGTGAAGTTTCGTTGGAGCAACAGGGGAGGGGAGGAAAGAGAAAAAGAGGGGCGAAATATAGAGAGTTGGGTTTGATTTTGGTTTAGTTCTTGGTTGAAAAAACTAGAAAAGTACCTACTATTAATGAGATAGTAAGGACATTTTGTGTAAATAAAAACGGGTATTGATGTTAATCTACTACAGTACGCACACAACTTGTATTATGTTGTATTAGTGCACCAATGCGACAAAAGACTTTCATGCAGATTCGGCAGCTTTCTTCTTACATGGTTATTATTTTTCAGTTATGTTTAAGGTGCCGACATCAAAATGCAAGGATGAAGTTCAGCTACACCAAGTTCAATATTAGAATTTTACCCCCCACCCAAAAAAAAATAAAAAAAAGCCCAAAAGTGAAAAAGAAAACCTCAACAACAGAAATCGCAATTCTTGTCAACTAAGAGTGTATGCACAAACTAATGCAAGTTACCATTGTGGGAATTGTGTCAAAGTGTTGCGTATCCATGTAAGATAACAGTAGCTTATGCACATGGCTTGGTGCAATTGGTGGCACATTTTGGACAATGTGAATAAGATCTTTTTTGATAGGTTTGCTTAATTTTAGGAAAAATTTATCCAGATTTAAACGATAATGTCTGTGTGGGTGATACTGAGAAATTCCATGTGAATTAGCTGCCCCAGCCCCAGCCCCATTTGTTTGAAACTTGGAGGAGTATGTACCTACACCTCTGCCTGCTCTCACTTATATAGCAGATTTCAGTCAGGGGGATCTAACTTGTGACGTGTGCCAAACCCACACTTCACGTTCTGCATGCTGAACTAGAGATACGGGGGCAAGCTGGCCTGATAATTAATTTCTCGAAAAGTAGATGTTTACTTTCTCAACTGTAAATTTTAAGCTCTTTTTAGCATACCTGATTGCCTAATAAATCAAAGAGGTGAATATACCAGTCACCCAATGCTAAATTGTATTATCTTTTAGTTTCAAATATATCAAAAGAGGTTGGGGGCAGTCATCCAAGTACAGGAGAAAATAAGAGAACCTCACAACATATGCTTTTAGAAACATGGTAGTTAAGTGGAGAAGGGTAGAGGGGCGGGCCCTTTCTCCAACCGTGCACCTACTGGCCTTCGGGAATTTCTCAGTTATTAAGAAAGAGGAAGTAGAAAGAAAAGTAGTTCTCTTTATAGGTAGTGCAACTATTATAGGTAGTGCAACTATTATCCGTCTTTTAGTCAGGTGGCCTTCGGGAATTTCTCAGTAATTAAGAAAGAGGAAGTAGAAAGAAAAGTAGTTCTCTTTATAGGTAGTGCAACTATTATCCGTCTTTTAGTCAGGTCTTTGAATGATAAAATTAAAATATTATATTACTCTCTTCACATACACCACTATCAGCTTATTTACTTTTTATGACTCTATTAGCTTTCATATCTTTTCTTTTGCTTGTTTTTAAAATGTAGTTTCTTCATTAAGTGGCATTCTTTTAATGCAAGTCTTCAATCACAGATGAAGTAATTGCCGCAATTGATCCCAGAAAAGTCGAAATTCTTCTAAGGTCAGTTGTTTTGCCTTGCCAACTCTTTTTCAAACTACATTCTGTCTCTTTCTCCTGAACTGGTGATTGGTGCCTGGGTTTTGTTTCTCCTTAGTTGTGTGGCTGGTGTGACATTTTTGCAACTTTTGACTGCACTGTCCCACTTTTTTGCTTCCATTTTGGAGATTGCTAACTTATCCGACAAGAAAAGTGTAGTTCTACCGTCTTTTTTTCCTGTTAACAAATTGTTTGAGTTACTGAGTGCTGTATCACATTGCGAATGATAAGCAGCTTTTTTTCGTCCCGCCCTGCTACCCCCTTGTTCTGATAGCAAGGGCATATTGTAGACCCAAATTGAGAACAGTCTGATTAAGAATTAGAATAGCTCATGTTTGCGGTTGAAAGGAAGCAGAAGATGAAGATGAATCTGGTGGGAGCTCCAGAAGATTAAGAGTTAAAATTTTACTGCCTTAAGAGTGGAGTCTAGTCAGTGCTTGACATTTGGCTATTTTCCAGACCTAACTCTGTTTTTGAACTGTGATTAAGTGTACTATTTTTTAGTCTTGTAACTTGCTAGCTTTATCTTACTCGCCAAACCAGTTAGAAAGCCAATTCTTTGAGTAGATCAATGTTCTTATAGTGTAAGCACATTTATTCAAAGCACCATGACCATAAAGCTGTTCCATACTGTGAAGAGGTTTTAAGATAATACATTCTTTTGAAAAAGATGGTACTTTAGTTTTGTTTTGATATTTAGCTAATTAAAACTTGGATTTTTTTAATGTTCTACATAATGTGACTGTAGTGTGGCTTGGGCTATTGTTAACTAAAATACGACCTTCTGAGTAAATCCGAAGGTGACACACATATGCACTAAACTTTATAGTTTACTGTTGACCTGGTATGTCCTTTTGTCTTCTTTGTCGACTTGCTACATAAATTCTAGATCTTTTTAGTACAAGAGATTTCTTCAGAGTCACTCCTTTCATCAACTAGCTATTAGGTAGCATAAGACTACTTGAAAATTTACAGCTGTATACTAATTGCATAGTAAGTACCAATACAAAAAGGATAAAATAGCTGGTAGAATAACCTTAAATTGCATTCAGTCACTCCTTAACCGGGTGGGAACTGAATAAAGCGAGTAGCATGTAGCGTGCCGAATTTTCTCTTTTTATTTCTTCTTAATTTGATCGATATTTTTATTAATATTAGTTTTTTTATTGGTGGTGTTCAATTATGTCATTGTATACCTGCTGTCTCCTGCCAATATGAGTATCTGTAATTCTGTTCACCAAGGTTTAGACGGAGGGGAACAAGTCACCTAAGCTGGTCTTGCCTCTATTGAATGTCAACCCTGGACTCCCATCGTTCTCATCCCGCTTCACTGACTTCTATACCACAGCCTTGGCCACCTGATTTGGTTTGATAATATATGCTTGTAAAGATGGTATCTAAATACTATTGAGGTATTTAGTTGTCTATATGTTTCTTTGAATTATAAACTGGAAGCTTTACCATGCAGATATCTCCAGTGGTTAATTGAAGATCAAGACTGTGATGACACACGGTTCCATACAACTTATGCGCTCTTGCTTTCAAAATCGGCACTTGATGCTAATGAAAAGGAACATGCTATACCAAATTCTGAAGGTGTAAACCAAAAGGAGACGAGTATGTCAGACCATGGAAACAACTCAATATTTGATACTCATGTCAGAGAGAGATTGCAAATTTTTTTGCAGTCCTCTGACTTGTATGATCCAGATGAGGTGCTTGACTTGGTTGAAGGATCCGAGTTATGGCTGGAGAAGGTCAGTAAAAAATTTAGGCTATTCATAGAAATAATGGTCTATGCATCTCTGCTGGTTAACAGTTTGAACCATCTGGTTCTCCTTGTGATTTGCGGTCCTTGTGTTCTTGATGGTTTTATTCCAGGCTATTCTTTACAGGAAGCTTGGTCAAGAAACATTAGTGCTTCAAATTCTTGCCTTGTAAGTTAATAAACCTTTGGTTATTGCTTTGAATAAATCACAACAAGCTTTATCATACTAATGAACAGCTAAAAAGATATACTGTTTCCCAAATGTGGGCAATGGATTGGTGACAATATTTATGGAAAGTCCTTCACTTAAACAGGCGAAAATATTTGAAAGCTTAGTACCCACATCATTGCGATATGAATGATATACCTGAACCTGCAATTACTCTGAATGAGATAGTTATAACTGTGGGATTTGTAATTTAAAGTTGTGTTCATCTGGCAGGAAGCTGGAAGACTGTGAAGCTGCAGAACAATATTGTGCCGAGATCGGTAGGCCAGATGCTTACATGCAGTTAGTACAGTATTCTCTCATTTGTTTCTTTAGCTTATTGGTTTAAAAGATGTTCTCTTAGCTTTTCCCCTTCCTGGTATCTTCTTAGGCTGCTTGAAATGTATTTGGAACCAATTAATGACAAAGAGCCTATGTTTAAAGCTGCTGTGCGTTTGCTGCACAATCATGGAGAAATGCTAGACCCTTTGCAGGTTTTGGAGGTACCAAAACTAACCTTCTTCCCGTCTATTACTTATATAATGGGCAATGAGGAGACAAAACCCTGGTACTGTTCCCAGGGCTTTAGTCTAGGTGGAAGAGTGCAGCGCGTGATGTGCTGGTTAGGCGCATGTCACGAGTTCGAACATTAACCCTACCGCAGACAAAAGCCCGGTATTTAAGTGGAGAAGGGCAGAGGGGCAGGCTCATTATCCACCGATTTCAAACTGTGCGCCAACTGACCCTTGGCATTTCTTGGTTATGGGAAAAAATAAATAATGGTCAATGAGGAGAGGAAATGTGAAGCTAGCTTGGGAAAAAAGTAGCTACATTTTACTCATTGGGATCTGTCACTTCAACATTTTATCTGCCATGGAACGTAGCCTCACTAATAGTTGTGTTGGTGCTTTGGAGGGAAGGGAACACGAGAGCATTCAAAGGGGTGGAATATGATCGTGCACAGTTTAAGACATCCCTTTTTGTCTCTGATTGTTTTGATGCACATACGAGATCCCTGGTAGTATAGACGATTGGATCTCTTTTGTGGGGAGCAATATTTTTGTGTAGCTTCTCTACCTCTTCGTATGCTTCTTACTTGTATGCATGGTGTGATTATCCCGAAACCTCAATAAAATTTAACTTATTAAAAAAAATACGATTATCCACCCTCTAATTTAAGTAACACGGTTCAACTGGGACGGAAGATTAAAATTCTGATTGACTTGCATACTGGTTTTTAGGTAGGAGAACTCGTCTCCAAAATTTTGAAAAACAAAAATGTGGTACAAGAGAAATAAGGTCATTGTTGAAACCTATTCACAGGAAAAACATCTCATCGAACTTTTAAGTAGAAGTTTTGATGTTCAATTTTTTCCTCTTGAAATCTTTGGATTTGTGGTCTTTGAAATTTTAGTAGTGTGTGAAACATTTGGGTTATCAAAACTGGGAATATGTTCTTTAAATTCGGAAGACTTGAGTGTATTCTTATTGGGAAAGTTGGAGTTTTCTCACCTTAATTTTAGCCATTGGTGTGTATTCAGTCACCTAGAACCTATGTTGCACGGACTCTTTATATTAGCTTATGCACCCCTATCGACACGACACTAGTACTAGTAAGGGTGTGAGATTCGTACCGGGTGTGGTCAATTGAGATTGGGTACTTTGACCACAATCCATGGTCAAATTTGAGGAAAAATGAAAAATGAAAGATTGTATTTTAGCTATTGCATGCTAGTGTGTATTGCCTACAATATAGACTAGAACTTATCAGATATTAAAAGTAGTCCACTTACTTCCTAACATATCTAGTCATGCGTCTTGTAACATTATTATACCATTCTTGGCTATCGTCTTTTATAATTGCCTTTGTTTGAAGTGAAAGATGAAGTTTGATTTTTTTATTATGGTGATCTTTAATTTCTAAAGGCTATTAAAAGAATTTTATCTGTCTCACATGGCTTGATAGGTCCACTTATGTTCTTGTTACTCTTTTTCTCAATTATTTGGGGAAATCAATGGTTATATTTTCATAGTTTCATTGGCCAAGTGTTGATGTTATTTGACTAATTCATTAACATAAATAAAAGATGCTATATTCATCTGGGATTTTTTCGTGCTGTTTGAAGGAAATCAGGTGATGAGAAGGCTAATAACCTAGAAAATAATCTAATTTGCTTAAGGCAATATATGCAAAGTCACGATAGATGTCAAAATGCTACTCATTCTTAGTTGAGGTTCACTTTGCAGAGATTGTCACCAGATATCCCCCTTCAGCTTGCTTCAGAGACAATATTAAGAATGTTGAGAGCTCGACTTCACCATCATCGTCAAGGCCAAGTATGTCCTAAACTATAGGTGTTGAAATTTCCATTGATCTTGAGCATTTATTAAAATATATTTTATTTATTATCTTAAGGGTGTACACTTTGTGTATGTTTTTTTATACAAAGTTTTGGCATAGAACATATGCTATGTCTATGTTATGCGAAACTTCAGCATGAATGTCACTGGAGACAAGAACTTACTGCTCTTGAGCAGTACTCAGCTTATGCCAATTTTCATGGCATCTTCTCCTTTGTGTTGAGTCATTATGGTATGTGATTTCATTTCCCTCTTGAACCGGGTACTATTAGATGCTTGGCTAAATAAGCCAGGCATTGCATGATATGGAGGTGCAACGCTGGTCAGACTGCTTCCTAAAGTGCAAAGCAACTTACCCACCTAGCTTCAGGCTTTAGTGCACCTTAAACATGCCTTTAACAGCACTGGCTTTCTGGATGACATCATATTTTTTCAGAGACAATTTTTTCCATGACTGAATCACAGAGTTGTCTTACAGATTCTTTCTCCAGTGACGAGACTGTTACTATTTTTCTTTTTCTTTTTTATAAGTTTGACTGCAAACTCTCGAATGCTTTTTCAGGTGCTGTATTAAAGTGTGACCTAATTGCATAGTTCTTTTATATCTTTGTCCTGGCTGCCTTGGGTCTACTATTTTGTTCTGTGGTCAAGTTGCAGTTCATAGAATAACACTATTTACAGCTAATCTACTTTTGCACATGGCATCTGATGATATTTGATGCTACAGATTGTCCATAGTCTATCTCGTGCTTTGGATATTGATGCAAGCTTAGCAAGATTTGAGGAAAGATCACGGCATGTTTTGATAAATGATGACAGTGTCTGTGACTCTTGCCACGCTCGACTTGGAACCAAACTGTTTGCAATGTATCCAGATGATACCATAGTCTGTTACAAGGTTTGTCATGTCTTCATTTATTTATGGCTTATTGTAATATCATGTTCTTGCTTGACATGATCTTTTAGCTTGATTGGGAAGTTCTGTTGCAGAAACATTATATATGCCTTCCTTGCCCCCCAAAAAAACATTTTATGTATTTTTCATCTGTGCTGACTTATTATTCCCCATTTTGACTTGCTGCCTGAAAGTTGCTTGGAAGGATTCTTTCTATATATATATATAGAAAGAGGGTGAATTGAAATTCTGCAAGTTTTATTGTGCTGAAATTTAGATGATGATATTGTGTACTGCTTTTATCTGCAGTGTTTTCGTCGTCAAGGTGAGTCAACCTCCGTGTCAGGTCGCGATTTTAAGAAAGATATGTTATATAAACCTGGTTGGTTAGTGACAAGGTGATGCTACTAAGGGGCATTGGGATGATCCAAACATTGAATGGCTTGGCATTAGTGCTTGCTGCTTATGTAGTTTAACTTTTAATATGTCCGCAGCTCATCTCAAAAGAACTCACTACACTCCCATAGTTGATTATGATAGTTTCTCTAATGTATATTTGCTTCAGTAGGAGACACAAAGGCATGCCCTTGATGGCTTCTTTATCCGTGCATAGCCATGAGCACACGGCATTTTGATTTCAAAAGTAGTCAGTAATGCACTCGTGCTCAAGAGCGAATTGTTTTGAATAAAACATAGCTGGTCTGTGGGGTTATGGTTGGTCGATTCAGCATCACCACTCAGTACTACAAGTTCTCTGTAAAACTCTAATATAGCAACTAGGCGCAAGATATCTGCTTACAGAGTTATTAATTGATCGGCAACTTTATATTCTGATGAAGAAGGTGGAAAGATGTCATTATCACTGAAATCTTGTGGGAGAATCTGGAGCCTTGGTGTTGATATGTAATGTTTATTATTTTTCTCCATAGATGTCATGTTTACAAGAGCAGGGTTTCGTGATCAGCTGTAGGAACAGATGTATATTATATCATTTTTCTTTTCAGATAAATGGTTTTTGTATATCGTCTTTTGGAAATTGAGTATTGCATCTTTTTGAAGTTCTTGAACATGAGACAGGAGAGCGTGAATATTTCAACCCTTTGCTTTTCTTTTAAAAGAAAAACATTATAGCCACCATTGTGGTGGGAGGTTAAAGCATGACCTCGACATGTATATTAATAATTAAACCAAAACATCATGGGGGATAGGGGCAGATAAAACTGTCCACTTCCTGGAATACAAAAAGATTTGCTAATAGAGGCCGTTTGCAAGAAGGGTAAGTCCTATACAAATGTGAGGATGTTATGACATCCTGGGAATTAAGTAATAACAATTCTTCACAAAAGCTGTACATTGAAATGGTTCTTCTTCAGTTTAATCCTAAACTTGGTCAGTTGGTCCCTTTTTTTTTTTTTGATGAAGTAAGGGATATCAGTAATGGCATCAAGTAGATGCAATTAGTACAAAAGATGGCAAATGCAAAAGTGAGTTTGTTAGCTCAATTACAATGTGATCTATACTAAAGATAAGGAGCTAACAAAGTCCAAAAACTTATCAGTGGAGTTTACTCCAGCTATATAAAAATAAAAGACAATTAGCCTTGAGAGTGATTAGGAGGTTGATATTCCATCAAAAACATCTTCGGTTCCTTTTTGTCCAGATTCACCAAAAAATACAGGCAGGAATCATTTTCCAGTTCTTTCTGATGAACCTACCAACTTTCCAAGAACTCCAGCACATGAAGGCATCTTTAGTCCTCTCAGGCATTACCCAATTGAGTCCAAAAACTGAAAAGAACATGTTCCAGATATCTGTAGCAACTGGACAATAAAATAGGAGATGACTGTTGGTTTCTATGTTCGGATGACACATATAGCATCTGTTGATAATGTGTATGTTCCTTCTCCGGAGATTGTCTTGAGTCAAACATGCTTCATAGAGTGCTGTCCGCTAAAACAAATCACCTCAACGGGTAATATCGTTTTCCAGATTAATTTTCAAGGCCATTTATCCACCATCTCATTCTAGGCACAAAGAGTTGAATATCCTGCTTTAACAGAGTATAAACCATCTGCTTTATCACCCCATCTTAGTCTATATGAAATCTGCTCATTGGTTATGCAGTTCCCCAATCTTTTAAGTAAGTTGAGTAGTTCTTCAAGCTCCCAATCCAACATGTTCCTTCTGAGTTGTGGGTCCCATGTATTGTCTGCTCTATTTTGTGAGATGGTGGAGTTTGGATTACTGGAGATCAGGAAGAGATTAGGATAATCAGTTTGCAAAGCTGAATTCCCCAACCACTTGTCTTTCCAAAACTTTATGTTTGTCCCATTACCAACCTGGAACCTGCAGTTCTGGTAAAATTCATCCCACAGTTTGGTTATGTTCTTCCACAAGCCTACACCATGTGGAGCTCTAGAGGTTTTGGTGCATGATGGTAGGCTATAATTGTGTGTTTTAGTTGCTTGTCACACTCTAATTTAATGCACTTTAATTGAGTTTGAGCCTTAATCGCTAGTGTTTTGTACTAATTATATGTTTAATGCCTTGTAGGAGTGATTCCGAGCTATGTAAATGTTATGAGATGAATTCACGATATTTTGGAGCTTTGAAGTCTGAGTAAAAGCTCAATGATTAAGTTGGAATCGAGTTCGGGGATCAACGGACACTAGTGAATTCAAAAAGAGAAACGAAGAACCGAGCCGGACGTCACCCAGGTGCACGACCACGCACTGGGCGCGCATGGGAGGCATAACACTAACGCAAAGTGCGCGGCCTAATGCGGGAGCACTATCCCAGGTGCGCGGCCGCGCACGTCCTGTCCGGGAAAAGTCCTACTTCGTGAAGGAGAAGGTGTGTTTGTTTGGGCCCGACCCTACTTGGTATATATACATAGAAAAACGGTATTTTGAGGACTTTTGGACATACTTTAGACCTAAGGAGGCTAAGGAGAAGTGGGATAAGCAAGAGCACAAGAATTTCATCCTTCAATCCTGACTCAAGACAAGGGTTTGGATTGTTTTATGTTTTTCTTTAACTTAACTTTATTTGTGATGAATTTTTCCATATCTATGGAGTAATTCTTTATTAGGGATTGATGGATTTTGTGTTTTGAGAATTGTTTGTGGATATTAACTCTAGTTTTTATGTATTGAATCGTTTTGGGTGTTTTAATTGTTGCATATATATTCACACGTTTATGTAATCGAAAGAGGCGTAACTTGTGATGTTTTTGCATTATCTTGTTGGTTGAATTCATTGATTCTTCTTAGTAATCGAAAGAGGCTAGTTGAATTATTGTTTAGACCTAGTTAGGAGAATAATCGAAAGAGGTTCTCTTTCAAACCAATCCACTACGAATTCTTGCATATCTTCACTGAGCTTAACTTAGTTCATATTGTGAGGTTGAGACTTAATCGAGAGAGGAGTTTCTACTGAACATTCGAACTAATAATAGAGTGAATTCGAGAGACTCACTTGAACCTTAGAAGTAAATTAATTAGAGTTAAATCCCAGACAAGTATCTTGCACCTATCCAATTAACCCCTATTTTCTCACATTGATATCTTCTTTGCTTCTTGTTACAATTGTCATTAGCCAATAGTTTAGACTCTTAGTTAATTTTTTTTAATCACATAAATCTTAGTTGTTGATCATCTTGGATAGCAATCAAGCTATAAACTATGAAAATACTGTTTAACTCCAATCCCTGTGGATATGATATTATATTATATTATACTATATTCGACTAGCGAGCATATTTAAGTGTTTGTTTTGCGCTCGTCAAATTTTGGCGCTGTTGCCGGGGATTGGTAATTAATAGTGTTTGAAATAGTTTGTGGTGCTAATTCAGGAATTTTTCTTTTTATTTTATTTTTTTGTCTCTTTTTACGTTTGGTGTTCCTTGATTGTGCGCATGCTACATGTTAGATTGGTGCATGACTCGATCCTCTGGGAAAGAAGTGTTCCCATACGAACCACAAATCGAGAAACAACTGCGATAGTTGAGGAAGGAAAGAAATCTCCCCGAGAATACAGAGAATGTTGGGAAATCCTCAACCAAAGAAATTATGGCGGGAGATGATGATAATGTTGATTTGGCTGCAAGAGAGGCAGCCCAACAAAGAGAAAAAGCTGCACGAGATGCTGAGGAGACAACTCTTCAAAATGCACAACTTGTCTTTGAGGAGGCTAGGGCTCGGAGAATGGCTCAGAATCAACCTTTGGATGCAGACCAATTCGAAAACATAGCTCCCGGTGCTGGGAGACCACTTGGCGATTATGCTAGACCGGTCTACAACCAAGGCTTATCAAGTGTGAGATCACCTCCAGTTACAACTAATAATTTTGAGCTGAAGCAAGGGTTGCTCCAAACTCTTCAAAACAACTGCGTTTTCATAGGAAAGATGAACGAAGATCCAAGCAATCATCTGATGGACTTCGAGGAGATTATGCACACCTTTCAATACAATGGTGTGTCATAAGATGCGGTTTACTTAAGGGCATTCCCCTTCACACTCAAAGATGATGCAAAGCATTGGCTTCGAAGCTTGCCTAATGGGCCGATTAGAACATGGGATGATATGACCAGAAAATTTCTTGACAAATATTTCTCATCAGCTAAGATGGGCAAGTTTAGAAGAGAAATCTATAACTTCTATCAGAACGAGACTGAAACTATGTTTGAAGCTTGGGAGAGGTTTAAGGAGATAGTACGAAAGTGTCAACATAGCTGATTTGAACTCTGGATGCAACTCCAGGATTTTTGGGATGGGTTGACACCAGCCTCACGTGGAACATTGAGAAATGTAGCTGGAGGCCCATTGATGAAAAAGACTCTAGAGGAGATAGTCACAATTCTGAATGACTTATTTAAAGACGCAAATCAGTGGCCCTCTGAAATTGCTGAAAGAAGAAGATCAATTGGTGTTCACCAAGTTGACGCTAACACATCTGTGCAGGTACAACTTGATGCCATGGCCAAGGAAATAAGGAAGCTAACCTTAGACTCGATACACAGTGAGCCCCATGCAGTGTGTGATATATGTGGAAGAGGGCACCCTACTCATGAGTGTCAAGCCTCAATCGAGGAAGTTAATGCTGTTGGGAATTATAACTTCAATGCAATGGGTCAGAAGCACCTCTGTTTTTCATGGAGTTCACCTGGGGGTACTGCAAATGCATGGCAAAAAATCAATCCCAGATTTCAAGGACAAGTAGCTCCTGGTTTTGTGAATCAGCCGAGGCCGCAGTTCCAGCCTCAACATTCCACTCAGCCTGGGCTAGAAAATCTAATGAAATCCTTCATTATCAAGACAGATGAGAGATTAGATGCTCATGGTTCAACTATCAAAGAACTTGGCACTGATTTGCGAAATTTGGAGAAGCAAGTGGGACAAATTGCAACTGTATTATCTGAGAGAATCCCAGGTACTCTACCACCTGATACTGAAAGGAACCCCAAAGAAATAGTGAATGTTGTGACCTTGAGAAGCGGGCAAGTACTGAAAGATCCCACTCCAGTCCAAAAAGAGGTGGTACCTGAAAAAGAAAGTGAGGAGAAACTGAAAATTGAAGGTGATAAGAGGATGAAAGGTAAGAAGGGAGCTGGCAAAAAGAAGGAGGAGGACACTTCGAGAAAGGAATATTGGAATGAGAGCGAGCACATGCCTGCTCTACCCTTTCCCCAAAAGTTATATAGAAAAAAGCTAGACAAGCAGTTTGTGAAGTTTCTAGGGATGCTGAGACAGGTTAATGTAAACTTGCCATTCACAGAAGTGTTCTCACAAATGCCAGCTTATGCCAAATTCTTGAAGGAGATCCTTACAAAGAAGAGGAAGATAGAAGAGACCTCAGTGGTCAAACTCACAGAGCATTGCAGCGCAATCTTGCAAAACAAACTCCCACAAAAGTGTGGAGATCTAGGGAGTTTTACTATACCTTGCTCGTTAGGCACTCTTAACTTTGATAAATCTTTATGTGATTCTGGTGCCTCAATTAATTTAATGCCTTTGTCTATTTACAGGAAATTGGTGAATAAGCTTGGAGAGATAAGGTC